GCTTACACTTAACCCTTGCTAAGTTTAAATACTCTAGTTCTTAGTTTTGCTTTTTTAAACATTGGGCGGGACTTTAAATCTCAGAATCTACATCTATCAAGATTCAAAAGATCATTAAAAGGCTCAGTTCTATCCAATTTACCATAAGCATAATGAATGATTTAATGAAAAAAAAATTGATAAAATAATAGTAGCAGTTTGCCACAATCAAGCCCAACCTTATAATTTTGATGGAGGGAAAATAAGATTTTGTGAATTACGTCATTGGATTTCTTATATTCTTTGTTAATAGGTAAAGTTTTTCCCAATGAGAAGCATCATGAAGATAAGGTCAAAGGTCATCACTTTTGAAGAAAAAAATCAATGTTGAAACAAGAAAAAAAATTATAATATTCCTTAAAATTTGGCATGTCAATCGAAGAAAAGCCTTAGAAGAAACAACAAAGTTAAAAGCCTTAATGCTCTCACTACCAACTCAAGGATCATGCTCATTTTGATGACTGGAAGCTTCAATAAAGAAAGAATCCAATCATAAACTGTTTTATCTTGCATCTGCATTGTCCGTGTAATTATTAGTTAATATGACTAAAGATACTTTTGACATTGCGCTATAGTTGAGCAGACAGACAAATTATGAAGATTTTAAACTAGATTTATGTCGTGGACCTCCTTTTTATTTTAGCTTGTCTTTTCTTTGCTCTCCACCATTCTTTACTTTTATTTGTTTATATGCTCTTCGTCCACCTTTCTATCTCTATCACTTCATTCCAATTCTCTTCCTTGTTTTCTGTGCGAGTTTTTTCTTTAATTGATTATCTTCATTGCCTCATATTTATTAACAAGTTTAGGGTGCTCTCATAAGTTCATCTTGCACTCAATACTGATTTGGAATATTCTTTCTTGTATGTGATGTCACATTGTTGTAGTTTTGCAAACCCATTGTTTTGAAATCACTATATTTGGAGATGCCTAACTTGATGAACTACATGGTCACCAGGCCATTAATTTTTCATGCAATTCTTAAAATTAATTGGCTTTGACTTTGTGTTTTTATTCATCTATGGAATGGAGCAGTAGTTTATTATTACCGAATAGTAGCAAATATCCTTTTTTTTCCTTTTTGATTAGTAACGGAGCTTCATCATCCCACTTGTTATTAATCAAAAGAAGTTATTTATGCCCTGTTTTTGAACACGTTGCTTTCTTTTCATGCTGATCAATTTTTAAAAAATATTTGGAAGGGACTTCATTTATCTCCCATGTCACGACCCGGTATGGGGCTTTAAATTAACCAATACGGGTATAGCGGTCAGACGGTGTGAAATAAAAATTCGATGCCCCCCCATTTTCTATAACTGTTAATTAACAAAAATGAAAGAAACATTAATAAAATTAAATTACAGTATTAAAACTAAAACTACTTAGTTATTGGTTGTCCGCGTCTTCTATAAATGTTATCTCTTTTAATACTCTTCATTAATCACTTATAACCTTAAAAGTTAGTTTAAGACACTTGTGAAATGAGCCAATGAATACTCATACTCATAAATCACAGTAATTCGAGAGAAAATGAAGCAATATGCATGTCAGTTGAGCATTTAATAAATCAATAAAAATATTTAATGTTATTCAAAGAACTTTTCTATATCAATATCATATAAATATCATTTTATATTTGTACACCCGTCACAGAAACCCTCTAAAAATTGTGTCAATTAAGACACATCAATATCAATATCTTTTTCCATATATGTGCATGAGTACCTTAGTGTTATCCTATTAGTATTATCAAGGGGTGACTCCATCATAGTCAATCATACACATACAAGTAATCAACATAAATATATCATTCATATGCTCATCGCATTCTATTCAATATACTATATAACATATATCAATGCATAATATTAAGTAACTACAAACATTACTTAACAATGTGATCAATAAAAAAAAATATATAAATTAAATAAAATTTATGCAAATGTTATTATCTACAAAAAAATTGAGAAGAATCAAAATATTATCATAAATTAAAAGTACAAGCATTCACATCAATATCGATAAATTTACCTTAACGTTGACTCTTCTAAAATTGGAAGTCTAATATGGTGTAAGATTTAATTAATTTAATATTTTAATAAATTATTAATTTTTCATTATTTAAGTATTAAATTTCATTATTTTATTTTAAGCAATCCTAGTAAATTCATTAATTACATTTATAATATAAACTGAAATTTCCTTATTGAAGTGTGCTTAGGTGAATCTATCAAAATGGCGGCGTTGCGGGCCGTGCTAGGGTTTTGCCATGGCGATTTACGACGTTGAAAATCCCTGCTTTCTTTCCATAGCCAACGTCGTTTTGTGTCGACGACAACTCATTCTGCTCGTAGGCTCGCACGAAGTCATCGACGACAACTCGTTTTGCTCGCAAGCTCGCACGACGTCATCTTCGTTCCTGATACGGGGTTTGGCTACGTCTTTGCACTCCTCTCCTTCCGCACGACGGTTTCAGCTCCGTCTGCAGGTTGATTCCTATTTCGTCTTCCTCCTCCATTCATCTCGATAGAAGCGTCTTCGGCTTGCTATGTCGTTGCCGACGCTGCTTCCTGTTGCAGTCTTGCAGTGCTTTCTGTTGCCGTCCGCTGCACTTCCCTATCTCCTGTGGTTCTTGTGTGAAGCACGCTAATGGCCTCAAGACTTTCCTATGCCGCCGCCCTCGCCGGTGATAACCTCGCCAAACCCTCCTATGCTACAGTGGTTCACAAATGCTGCACTCATTTCCACCTTGCAGATAGTCCGATATTTCCGCAAATGTACCATGATTCTGTTGCAAGACATGGAGATTACAATCTCATCAAGAAAGTAGAGAAAATTGCGGACAAACCAACAATATTATTCTTTGATGCTGAAATTTTAACTCGTGCAGAAAAATACAAATTTACACTAGTTGGAAAGTTCCAATTAGGTTGCCCGGAGATGGAGATTATCAAGAAGATTTTTAAAGACTTCAAACTAGTTGGGGCTTGGAAGGTGGGTTATTTTGACAGAAGACATGTTATGATACAGCTGAGTATAGAAGAAGATTACACAAGGATTTTCTAAAAAAAAATTCATCACAATCGATGGCAAACATATGAAATTGCTCAAATGGACCCCTAATTTTGATCCTAGTCAAGAACCCCCAATTGCGTCTATTTGATTCTCATTACCTGAACTCAAGTTTCATTTCTTTGACTTACCTATCTTTTATGCAATTGAGACTATCCTTGGAAAACCTTTACAGATAGACTTTCCCACAGTTCATTTCTCAAGGCCCTCTACTGCAAAGATTTTGGATTTTGATTGAAAGAGATATCCAGATGTAGAAGAAGTTTGGCTTGGATTTGCTCACAATGGTTATTGACAAAAAATTATTATGGAACAAAAACCTTACTATTATGGAAAAATCATTATAGAGCAAAGACCATACTACCGCAAGCACTGCAAGATGTCGGGACACCCGCAGTAGAAATGTTTCAGATTGCACCTACAGTTGAGAACTAATAGTCAAAAGCAAGAACATGTTGTTAGTGCACCCCATGTGCCTGAATGCGTTCCCAACAAATCTGATGACAGCCAACCTGATGAGGGAATCACCACAAGACAGGAGTTGGTGTTTGCCCCTGGGAACCCTTCTATCGACCATACTACAACGGATAATGTTCAGACCGAAAATCAGGATAGCCCTGTAGCTCCTATTCAGGAAGCATCAGACGCAGATGTGACAATTCACACTTCACATACACTGGAATCTATCATTGTAGGAACGACTGCCTTTCCTTCTACCGCGGCTCTAAAATCTAATCAGACCGAGGATCACACCAGACCGAGGATCACATGGGCCACTCTTCTGATGAAGAATGACAGGTTTACACTTCTCGACGGAAGAAGAAGGCTGGGGGCAGACTCCAACTTGAAAACTTAATGGATGATACTTTGGTTACTCCTGACAATGACACACACTTCAAAGTTTTCCGCTTCTAAAATTAGAGGAAGAGGTAGGATTAAACTAACTCATCCCTAGCTACTTGTTTTCTGGAAATTTTAATTTTTTGAGTCTATCTGTATCTTTTAGTTGGGGTATTACTGTACTTGGTATCGTATGGGTAGGGTGCTTCTATTGGGCCCTCTCATACAACCTTTATGTATCTTCTTTATTTCAATAAAATCAGCCTTTGTGCATATATATATATATATATATAATCATTAAAATAAAGTATATTTTACTTTTATAAACTCTGTCGAGTAAAACCATGTATGCGGCCCGCTTCGCCTTCTTCCTCGAGAGCTAGTGCAGCGAGTCAGCTACCTCTTCTTCTCCTTCGGCTTGGTGGCATGCGATCGATTTTCGCTGTCCAACTCCATAGGTAAGCCAACTGCGACGTTTTATAGGCGAAAATTCACCTCTTCCACTTCCTGACCTCTAGTTTTTGTTCCTTCCCCTTTGGTTGTCCGACTCCTCGTTTCCTCTTCTTCCCTTCTTTGTTTCCTCTTTCGTCTATTAATTTCTTTTTCCGATTCTTCATTTCCTCTGCCCCCGTGATTGAAATGGGGCTGTTGCATCCCAGGAACTGAATTTAACTTAAAAAAATAATCTTTTAATCTTGAAAAGTCATCTATGTGAGGCTATCCCTTTCATGTTGGTGTGGCAGTGCTACTTTAGTAAATTTTGTTTAAACATGGTGATATACTAAAGCAACTGACTTGTGTTGGATACCAACAAAGGCAAACTTTTGATCTATAGTCATACTCTGTCATCCGCATCTGCTTTGTTGGCATTTTCATGTCAGATAATATAAGCTCCAATTTCAGATAAACTAAAGGCAGCACTCTATTAGCTAATTTATTTTTTGCAATGCTCAAAAGCATGAAGCTTGCGGAGCAAAGTAGGATGGTGACATGCATATTTGGTATTAGCAGGGCTGAATTGTGAAACAACTCTTTGTCTTGTTCTACAGATTACAGATAATCTAGAGCAAAGATTTTACAAAGAACTACGCAATGAACGGTTTCATTTTGCGAAAGCTGTGCCTTGCGTTTACAGCAAATTGTTAGCTTCATGTAAGGGGCAGATGTAAGTTAAATTTTATTTATTTATTTGAACGTGCGTGTGTGTGTGAGAAGGGCTTGAAGTTAGCATTGTTTTTCTTCTGTCTCATCATTGATCATTTAAAAACATGCTAATTTTATGCACATTTACCTTCACTTGGAGCTTACTATTCAAGTTGAGCTTATCTTTTACTATTTCTTGAGTTTTCAGACTGCACTTATATGGTTATATCATGTTCATAAGAGCAAGTTCTATTATGTTGACCACCTTTTTCTTATTATCCAGAAATACAGAAGATGGCATTTATATTTCTCATATCTGTGTATCCTGTGTTTTAAGAATTTGTTCATTGGAACATAGATAGTACACTTAAAAACTTGTAGTAGTAAACCATAGACAATGTGCCTCTAGGCAACATTTGGAATGGACACTATTGGAATTTGGAAGTGAAGAACATCTGTGGGCATTTGGTTTATAAGATAACATGATGTAAGCATCACATCACCCAAGCACAGTTTTGAAGTGTTGGTGTTGAATATGATAGATCTCATAACTTCAAGAAGTTGGTGGGCTTCTATTCAAACAATGGCGTTTTATTATGGTGTGTCGAAATGTTCTTTGATGCACGGTTTCATTTTGATTTTAATAATATTATGCCTCTAAGAATGTGTAAAACTGAATATTGGCAGGATATTAAATTTTAATCATATTATTGAAGTTCTTAAATATTAGTTCTATAGGATATTTATCTTTTATCAAATAAATCTAACATACCCGAGTATGATCTTCAATAAAAGTAATAAGAAATCACATAAAGTAAAGATTTTGACACTCTGTAGTTCACTAAATATCATTGTGCACAAGTGCAAACGGTCTGGTAGCTTTACATAATTCAGATTTAAAAGCAAACCTTTAATATTTAGCCAATTCACAAAGTTCATATTTGTTGAATATTGCTTTTTTAAATAATGATGGAAATGCATTTTTTTAAGAATGATGAATAGTTATGAGCATGTTAGCCATTACTTGTATCATTGCCAATGTAATGTAGCCCTCCATGCTCACTTGCATTGCCATCCTCTTACTAGAGCTATTACTTGAAATTCATAGTTATCTTATGAGAACATAATTTTAATGTTATGAGGTAAATGGTTACAAGAGTGATGCGGAACATATAAAATATACTTAAGTACAAGTGTAGAATTAATTTTTCTGGTTTGAATTTTAACTATTGGAGATAAAGATCCATCAATTACTTTAGGTTGGACAGGAGTAGGGATACATATAAAGAATAATCACCATTTTATATGATTTGATGCTTCTAAGTCAATAATCCAAGACTCTTCATTTTTTTACAGTTAAAGTTGATAGAAATTCACCTCTCTTAGAAATTTACATAGTGTCGCGGCTTTTTCAAGAGAGTAATTTTAAGATATGATTGAGCTGCACCTTATTTAGATTGATGCTGCCTAAAACAATCTCTAGGTTTTGAATTGGATGCTTTAGTCTTGATTTGGAAGCATGAATTTCCCTATGTATATTCTTAAATTCTTTTGGGTTGCCTTGGTTTGATGATTTAATGTTTCTTTTCCAGCATACGTGGCTGATTTTTTTTGGCGTAAATCACACTATAAATTATTTTTTCACCTCGAGTCATTGATATGATCAGCTTCCCGATTATACCATTAGCCTTGAATGATAAGAGCAGAAGTTTTAGCTTGGAGTTTAGTTTTGGGGCTTCCTAGCATATTCATTCATCTACTTTGTTTTCTATGAACTTCAGCAATTGCATCTTCAATCTAAGGTAATGGACTATTCTGAGCATTCTCCCATGAACTTCAGCTACTCCTTATTCAGCTTCATTTTTTCTCCACTAGATATTTACGCACACATTCTCTACACCAATCTTTAGGTTTGAATATGCTTAAGTTATGCCTAATTTTTGTAAGAGTTATGTAACAATCTGTGACTTCTATAATTCCTTATTTGAGTCATCAAGCTTGATACCTTAGCTCACACAATTGCATTGAATTTATGGTTCGATCGTGCTATCCTGGCCTTGTCACAAACTGCTTTTCTAGTATTTTGCATCAAATAGAATAAGCTATGCTCCTCCATTTTAGTTAATTAGCCAGGACATAACTATAACATTATTTGTGTTCCGCATTAATTAGGCAGGATTAGTGGGCTCTAATCTTCTCATGGTACCGCCAAGGCATCAAATCTTTCCTCTCCCTTGTATGATCATCTGCCTCTCCTTTGCATTATCATCTGTACCGAATCAAGCAATTTAAAGAAATTCTTTCCATTTAACTTGTAAAAGGTAATATGGAGTCAGAAGTTATCAAGAGATGCTGTGGGGGTTAATTGTAAGGGTCGGTAAAGAGGATGATCATCCATCCTTTCCCCATCCTTCCTCAACCTGGAAGGACCCGCTTGTTTCCTCTGCCCATTCTTCTTTGTGAAACGATGACTTTGATAACCATTTGGAAAATGGTATATGCGAAAAGGAAGAGTACTGCAGGATTTTTTTTCCAATTATGCTCGAGGCTCTGAAATGGCTAGGATTAAAAAGTCATTAATATTAAACTAGAAAGATTAAATTAGGCAATCTCAATAAATCAAGAAATACTCAATCTTTAAAACTAGGAAAGATTCTACCTTTTTAATTCTTTCTGAAAGCAAGAGTTATAAATTTTCTCTTATTTTTTGTTCGTTCTAATTTGAACTTGAACAAACCCAGGCCGTTGTTTGCTACAAGTACGCTCTGTATCATACGCACTCTTCTTGATCAAACCAGACAAGATGATATGAGAATCCTTGGTTGTCTTACTCTTGTTGACTTTCTCAATAACCAGGTATGTTTTATGGGTAATTCCCATTTTTCATTTATATCTTCTTAGCCATTATCTTGTACTAAATTTTATCGTACAGGTTGATAGCACGTATATGTTCAACATAGAGAGTCTTATTCCAAAACTTTGTCAGCTTTGTCAAGAAGTCGGAGGTGATAAGGGCCTTCTCTTGAGGTCAGCAGCATTACAGGCTCTTTCTTCCATGGTAGGATCTTTTGAAATTTTGAAGGAATAGATGCCTTACTCTGAGCTTTCATAATTCTTTTAAGTAGCGACTTACGCGTAATGACCCATTTTTGAACTTCTTGGAATGTTTAAAAATTTTAATGGATAGCAGAATACGTATTGCCTTTTCTCTTTGAATATCTTTAGCATTTTACTAAATTGAAGCATATTAGTTTCGACGACAAATATACTTCTTACAGGTTTTTTATTACATGCTATTTATCAGGTTCGCTTCATGGGTGATTACTCTCATATATCCTTGGAGTTTGATAAGGTAAGTTTATTTGTTCTACATAAATTGTAGACTCTGGAATTTTCCAGCTATATTTCTCAAATACATTACTCACTCTGCAATGTAGTATAATTTTGATTTTAGATGAATGGAAAAACAAGGGCTATAATAAAGTGTGTGTATCAACGGGCACACCAAAAGGAGCTTGTGCTGCCTTACCTCTATAATAGAAGAATATTGTGAAATCCGTGCTTATTGGTTGAAAGAACTCCAATTTGTCATAAAACTAAATTAAATTGGTTACGTGGACTTCTTAGACTTTAATATTGGAATTACTGAATGTATACATTGGTTACAGTTTGTTTGCACCATAATGTGTACAATACAACACAACAACAAAGTCTTAATCCCATTACGTGGAGTCGGCACATGAATCCTTTTTCTCCATTACATCCTATATAGTGTCATATTTTCATTTAGTTTTAATAAATTAAGATCATTTTTTTTACAAAAAGCCCAAGTCTTCCTAGGTCTACCTCTGCCTTTCTTAACATAAATCGAATTTAAAACATCTACATCGACGTTTAATGCATCAGATGATCGACGTTTAATGTGACCAAATCATCTAAGACGACTCTCTTTTATTTTGTCTGTTACTGGAGCTACACCAACCCTATCATAAATATATTCATTTCACATTTAATCTCTAAGTGTAAAGCCACTCATCCACCTAATCATTTTCATCTCAGCGACACTTAACTTAGTATTATGCTTCTCTTTTAAAGGCCAAATTCAGCGACGTAGAGCATTGTAGGTCTTACCACCTTCTTATAAAAATTTCCGTTCAGTCTAAGCGGTACTTTTCTATCACATAAAAGGCCAGAAACATTCCTCCACTTCAACCAACCAACTTGAATTCTCCTAATAACATCCTCATCTATATCACCATCTCTTTGAACAACAGACCCGAGATATCTAAATCGTTCACACGTTTTAATAATTTGACCACCCAAAGTTACACCTTTGTCATTAGAGCTACTACTACTAAAATTACCTTCCATGTATTCAGTTTTAGTTCTACTCAAATGAAGGTCTTTAGACTCCAATGTAGATCTCCATAATTCAAGTTTTTCCTGGGATTTTCTCTCGTCTTATCCACGAGAAGGTTAGCACCAAAAAGCAAACATTGAAATTAACATGTAATGAATAAAATTGAAATTATTGTGCAAGTCTACTGGTTGTTGCAATGATTATATTAGCTATAAATGGAGTAGTAATAATTGTGGAGAAATCAAAGAAAAAGTTTTCTAACGCCTGAAGTTCCAGCCAATACAAGGTCTGGGGTGTGGTGCTCGATTGCTGTTGATACAATTGTTAATTGATTTTCTTAATTAAATGCGAGGCACTCTAGTTGGGTTGTAAAAAGGAACAACACTGTTTTATAATGACAAAATTATGTACTCACCATGTACCGAGTATGCAGTTGTGTACTCCAACCAAATGGAATATATGGTGAGTTAACAGTTTTGTACTTCCAAAACTTAGAGGAGACAATGATCAGACAACTATACTTTGGCACTCCACATGTAGAGCTACATAGGCTGCCTGTAATAATTTCTCATCACAAAGATTGTTGTTTTGGCTAAAGAAAAGCATGGCTAGTACACAATTGTGCTCCAACCAAATGGAAAACATAGCGAGTAAATAGTTTTGTACTCCAAAAAAATAGAATACACAATAAGTAGACAACTGAACCCTGGTACTCCACATACAGAGCTACATACTTCGTCTGCCTGTAATAATTTCTCATTACAAAGATTCTTGTTTTCTATAAGAAAGGCCGATGCAGGCATGCACAATTAATGCCATGAGAATGCATGGCTATGAAATCAATGGACTTGTCATTTTTTATGTAGGTGGCTGCACATGCTCACTTGTTCACTCCATGTAAGTGCTCGTTGTTCTGCATGTATGCTCTTCAAGCTATTTTTTTTTTCATTTTTGCATGTGAGTGCATGCTTGCTTTTGCATGTTGTATCAATGAGTATGCAGCATTTCACGCACTTTAAGATAAATGTATTTTAGATTTTGAGTTACATACAGCCAAAACTTTTGATTTGAAGGAAATTTCATCTAGGTGCTATAGTTCTTCGATTTTATTATTCATTGTGTGATGGTATTTCTTTATGGGATCCATTCAGATAGTCTCAGTGACTTTGGAAAATTATGAGGTTCTGGTGGATTTAGAAAATGGGAATCAGAATTTGCAAAACTTGCAACCACAATGTATCCAGCCCCAATCTACTATCATGAAAGGAGGGCAGTTATCATCCTTCAGGGATTCGCTGAAGAAGGTCCCATCATTCCGTCTGAAGAATAAAGCAGATTGTGCTGCCTTACTGTGAGCAATGAATATCAGAAAAATTTCTGTCCAAACTATATTCCCTCTGGTTTTTGAATACTTACAACTGCATATCTATAGCAGCGATGTTTCTCGAAGCCCTTCATATTGGTCAAGGGTTTGTTTGCAAAACATGGTTAACCTTGCCAAAGAAGCAACTACAATGCGGCGAATTTTGGAACCCATTTTTTGTATTTTTGATGAGGGAAATTATTGGTCTCCTGATAAAGGAATCGCAATTTCTGTTCTGTCTTTTGTTCAGGAATTGATGGAAAAATCAGGTTAAGTACTTTCAGTTTTGTTCTTTGCATTAGCATGTAGTAACTTTCGCTGCATGGATGTTGAGTTAATAGTTTTGTTGTCATCAGGACAAAACAATCATTTACTGCTGTCTATGGTCAAGCACTTGGATCACAGGAATGTTGCAAAGCGGATTGACTTGCAGGTTAACATTAGCAAGATTGTCACACGGATAGCACAACAAGCACAATTGGAAGCTTCAGTATCTATTATTAATGCAATAGGTGACCTGATGAGACATTTGCGTAAATGTTTGCAATGTTCTATCGAAGCATTTAATGTTGGAAGGGAAACCAATGAATGGAATTCTATCTTTCATTCTTCTTTGGAAGTTTGTCTCGTGGAGCTGACAAAGAAGGTTGATCAGTCTTGTACGACATGCTTCATTTATGGTTTTTCTCATAAAATTTTTGAAAATTTTATTAAATCAGGGATGTTAAGGGTTTGGATCAATGATTTCTGGCTAATTTTGCAAACTTATCTACCATGTTTTTGTTTTATATAGACTAGTAATTCTACGTAGTTCCTATATCAAGTCTATTTCTTCCTTCCGATGTCTATGCAATAAATTAACTGCAGCATTGGATGTCTATGGAAATAAATTGACTGCAGCATTGGATGGTAGGTAGGAGACGTCGGACTTATCCTTGATATGATGGCTGTTATGCTGGAGAACCTTCCTACTTCTACCATGGCCAGAACAACTATGTCTTCTGTTTTCAGATCTGCACAAATGGCAGCCTCCATCCCAAATTTGTCCTGTAAAAACAAGGCAAAATTCTTACATGCGTTGCGTTATACTTTATGATTTGGATGTTTTTGGATTAACTTGCTAAATTCTGCTTCATGCACCCGTTCACGTTTCAGGCTTTCCCAGAAGCTCTATTTCACCAGCTTCTCCTGGCAATGACACACCCAGATCACGAAATAAGAGTTGGCTCCCATCGAATTTTCTCTGTGATTATCTTACATTCAAATGTTTATCCTTGGTCTACTCCTCTCATCTCAGCTTCAAATGAAGCTTATGGTCGGAGGCAAACTCTTTTGGTAGCTCTTTCTGGGTTTGCATCTGTTGAGACTATTTTGGAGGAGCTTAGAAAGGAAGACTGTTCTATGGAAAATGAATCTACAGAACAAAATCTTAAATTTGCTGATGAAGCAGAAGGTACTAGTGTGGAAGAAGCCGAGCATGAAGATATCAAGCGGTGTGTGGTCTGCCCAGCTCCAGCTATGCTGCATAGCATAGAGCTCTCCCTACCTTGCCTATCTTCTGATGGCACATCTGTAAGTGAACATGAAAAAGCGACCATGGAATGTTGAGTTGTTTGAAATATTAGAGGGCTTTTTATTTTGTTATGAATTTTCTAAAATACAGAAATCTTATGGATATTGTTTTCTATATAAACTTTCTGCAGGAATTGACATCTGTAAGTTTGAGTGGTTACCAGGTGGGTCTTCTTCTGTCTTCAGTTTGGGCTCAGGCATCCTTTCAAGATAACACCCCAAGCAATTATGAGGGAATGGCACATACATATAATCTAGCTTTATTGCTTTCCCAAACCAAAGTAAGTTTCATGACATTTCTTATGTGCCCAACTAGGATTTTCTTTTAATAATTCTCCTAGAATATTCTGATTATTTATGTATGTAAGAGTTGAGATTTGTATCTTATTTTCAGGGGTTTAATTGTAAATAGGAAATATTGAATAAGTTTGGGTTATTTGTATAAGGTTTGTAAGGCTCATGAATGAAGGAAAAAAGCTTTTTACCAAAGTAAATTTCTTCATGGAATCAAAGCCAACATCACCTGCTTGATTGGACCTAGACGATCGCATGCTAGCTAGGAAAGATTGGGATGTGATCGGCAGAATGGTGGAAGCTTCTAGGAACTGCAAATGCGAAGCAAGCTAGGGTTTCGATCGAATTCAGAATCTTACACAAGTGACAGTACAGGCGAAAGTGACTGTGGCTTTACCGTGTGGAATGACAAACAAAATCGATCGTGGCTTTCCTATGCGAAATCGAGGTGCAAGGCGAACTCGGAAAGAGGAGACACTTAACCTAAATGCAATAAGGAGGAGGCAATGCTTAACCTAAACACAATGAGCAAGATGAAGAGGAACAAGCTGTGGTCACTTTCGTTCTCGCTTGGTCGTGCGTTGCAGCAGAGCACTCCGAAGGCATGTGCTGGGAGGAGGAGAATGTGGAGAAGGTGTGGCGGCTTTTCTCTCGACGTGCAAGTTTTGAAGGAGAGCTTGGTAGACAGTAGAAGCGATGCCAGGGAAGGAAGAAGGGTGTATCTTCGTAGGGGGCTTGTCATGGAATACCACGGAACGACAACTTAATGCTACGTATAGTCGATTCGGCAAGGTGCTAGATGTGTAGATTATGATGGAAAGCGATATAGGGCGACCTTGTAGATTTGGATTTGTGACTTTTGCTGACAGATGTGCAATGGAGGATGCTATCAGGGAATGCACAATAAAGAGTTGAACGATCGACAAATATCAATCAACAAGGCCAAACTAGAGGCGAGTTTGGATGATTCAGGCTACAGTTATATTGGTGGTGGCTACTCATCTAGTTGAGCAGGTAGAGGAAAATTCTTTTCTCGTTTTGGAACTGTCAGAGGTGAAAAAGGAGGCTATTGGACAAATAGGATGGTAGCAAAGAATGAGTGAAAGACATGATTAGTCTTTACCAATGAAGATCACGAGTTACTGAAGATGTTGAAGAGAAAGCAGAGAGCAGCATGTAATGTGTCTGAGGATGCATCCATCTTATCGTCATCTAAGGGGAACACTACTAGTTATGCTCACAGCCATAGTTACTCGTGATACACATGCTCTTGCCTCAATATCCACCACCAGATCACCAGAGATAGTAGATTCCGGTGTGTCTCAACATGTGACAGGTGCCACCAGTGAGTTCTCTTCCTATACTCACTTAGTAGTTCCAGAGATCATTCAGACCACTTGTGGTACAAAACAACCTGTGGTTGGTAAGGGTATATTGAGGTGTACAAATTTTATGAATTTGTTCAATATTTTGCATGCTCTTTCTTTTCCGGTGAACCTTTTATCCATTAATGCCCTTATACTCCAATTAAATTATGCTGTTTTATTTGATATTCCTAATGTGATCTTTCAAGAGAAGGGGGTTGGCCGAAGACTTGAGATTGACGCGTGACATAGTGGACTCTGATACTTGGATAGCGAGGGGATGAACTCGGCCTTGTCATCCATGGTTGAGAATGCTGTAGCAAGAGAATCTGAGAGTGTGAAGAATGTTTTGATTTGGTGCACTCAGGCGCATGAGATACTCTTTGTTTAGTCTATTGAGCCGTTTGTATCTATCCTTATATGAAAAGACAAATAAAAAAAAACTTGTGTGTGATGCTTGTAAGTTTGGTAAGCATATCAGAAGCTCTTATGTTAGTTCTGGAAAAAGAGTTTTTATGTTGTTGATTTGGTGCACTCAGATGAATGGGAACTTTGTTTTACAACTTCTATGGATGGTTACAGATATTGTGTCTTTCATCTATTATTTTTCTCATGTTTCTTGACTATGTCTGATGAAAAAAAAAGTGATGTGCTTAAAATTTCACAAGGTGATTCAGACTATATACGGTGCAGTAATGAGGGTATTGTGGTCTGATTATGGGACATAGCATACCAACAAGGCATTTGGGAAATACTTGTCTGCCCAAGGAATACATCATCAGACTCCATGCTCATACACACCGACACAAAATGGAGTAGTTGAGAGGAATAATAAACACCTTCTAGAGGTAACTCGAAGCATTATGATCACAATGAATGTTTCAAAGCACATGTGAGGACAAACATTTTTTATGGCGGCTTAATTGATCAACAGATGCCCTCGAGAGTGTTAGATTGGAAGTCTCATTGTCAGATGTTGAAAGAAAATAATAACGGAATCCTTTCATTGAAGGTTTTTGGCTGTGTATGTTTTCTCATTGTCAGATGTTGAAAGAAAATAATAACAGAATCCTTTCATTGAAGGTTTTTGGCTGTGTATGTTCTGTGAAGGACAACATAACATCAATAGAGAAACTGAATACTAGAGTTGTTAAGTGTGTTTTCATGGGTTATTCTGCTACCAGAAAGAGGTATCTTTGTTGGAGTTCGATAGAGAAGAGTCTGTGAGCATGGATGTGTCCTTTAAAGAGTTTGAACCATACTATATTTTAGAGGGGATCTCACCCTTTGGTGACTCATTAGATACTTGAGGTATGAGGCGTGAGGGGGAGAGTAATCATGGTCAGACATTGGTGCATGTGGGAATGATGCCTTATCCCATTGTGTGGGAAGGATCAACTAAGGAAAAGCCAAACAATGAGAAAAAAATGAGTCTGAAGGTGGAGGGATTTAAGCTCAAAGGGAGCTGAGAGTGTATAAAAAGAGGGAGAAATAATGATGGAATGGTGCCCGTCGTGCCACTCTTGCAAGCAAGTCTGGGCACAGCGTCTGTCATGTCACTCGTGCCATCAACTCTCTTGTCATGGTCTACCCCGACTCTTAAGACACCTATACCTTCCACTTCAGAATCTGATTACCCAAGTGATACGAGTCTCTCCATTCTTCTCCCACTCCCATTGCTTCAAGGAGGACCTCTCGTAGCAATGCGGGTTGTTCTCTTGATTGTTATTCTCTTATTTTGTTTTTTCACATAACATCACATTGTCGGCGCTTAAAAAAAAGGGGAAAGGAAAGAGAGTTTTGGTTTAGACACTTTCTCTATACCCAAGTGTTGGTAGGTAGCTAAGAAGGATCCAAAGTGGAGGTTGCCATGCTAGAGGAACTTGGTGCTCTCGATAAGAATAGGAAGTGGGAGATATATCATTAGCGACAGAGAAAAGAGCAGTTGGGTGCAAGTGAATCCTCACAATAAAATAAAATTTGGAAGGGAAAGTGGAGCGTTACAAGACATGATTGGTGGCGAAAGGTACAATTAGACATGACATTGGTATGACGAAACCTTTACATCGGTAGCGAAGACGAGCACAGTGAGGACATTGATTTTTCTGGCTGTGAATGGTGGGTGGAAGTTACACTAACTTGATGTGAAGAATGTTTTCCTTCATGGTGAGTTATTGCATGAGGTTTATATTGACATACCACCAGGATTCGACATAGTTCAGACGGTGGGCAAGGTGTGGAGGCTCAGGAAGTCGCTTTATGGCTTGAAGCAATCTCCTCGAGTCTGGTTTAACAAGTTTAAAAAAACTATGGTGGCCATGGGATATGAACAGATCAATACTGACCGTACGGTATTCTTTCATCAAAATGATGGTCACATTACTATATTTGTTGTGTATGTTGATCATATGATTGTCATTGGTGATGATGAGGAAGAGATTGCTCAACTAATTGTTAAATATGACAGATTTTGAAGTGAAGGTTCTTGGACATCTCAGATAATTTCTTGAGATTGAGGTGGCTCATGGACTACGGGGAATGATTTTATCTCAGAGAAAGTATATACTAGATATCCTCAGAGAAACAAACATGCTGGGATGCAAGCCTGTAGTCTCTCTATTTGATCAAAAAACCAAGCAGAGTACAGAGGTAGGAAAGCCAGTTGATCGTGAGAGATAACAGAGATTGGTGGGTTGTCTGATCTATTTGAGTCACAGACGTCTCGACATCTCTTTTGCAATGAGCATGGTGAGCCGCTATATGCATGATCTAAGGAAGCGTCATATAAACGCAGTGTATTAGCTTTTGAGATACCTGAAAAGTGCACCAGAGAAGGGGTTGATCTTCAAGAAGAACGGGTATGTAGACATCGAGGGCTATTGTGATGCTGACTGGGCGAGTTGTGCAGATGACAAAAGATTCACCTCAAGATACTGCATGTTTGCAGGTGACAACTTGCTCTCTTGGAAAAGCAATGAACAATCTGTAGTAGCAAGGTCAACAACAGAGGCAGAGTACATGGCCATGGCCTTAGGTGTTGCCGAGAAGATATGGTTGAGAGCTTTGTTGGTCGAGCTTAAGGTGGATCAAGGAACTCAAATGAAGTTGTGGTGTGACAACAAGTTAGCAATCAATATTGACAACAACTCGGTTCAACACTATAGAACCAAACATGTGGAGATTGATAGATTCTTCATCAAGAAAAGCTAAATTACGGGCTACTGGAGCTAAGTCCTGTATCCACTAGAGAGCAAGTGGTAGACTGTCTCACTAAAGGACTTAAGTTCATTAGATTTGTGTAGATTATGTGACAATATGGGCTTAGTGGATATCTTTGTCCATCTTGAAGGGGAGTGTTAAGATTTATATCTTATTTTGAGTCCATTTTGAAGGGGAGTGTTAAGATTTATATCTTATTTTGAGGGGCCTAATTGTAAATAGGAAATCTTGAATAAATCTAGGGGTTATTTGTAAGAAGTTTGTAAGGCTCTATAGAATCCCAACTCATAAATGAAGGAAAAATGCTTTTTTCACCAAAGTGAATTTTTTTCTAAGCCAATTTTAAAACTAAATTTATTTGGTTTATATTTATTTTTGACAAATTTGAATCAAGTTCATTTGAT